TTTGCTAGCTTCTGACTAATATGTCTATATGTAAATCTTTTATTTCATATATATATTGCAAGCTGTGTACCGAATATAAGATTTTATATGCCTGTAGCCTTAGCGATAGTGTAACGAAAAGGTGTTAGTTCAACGTGACATAGGCTAGTTGGGGTATCAAAGTTGAAAATGAGGCTATTCCAGGTATTTACCGTTGATTTTATTAGGTGATCTGCTGATTTTAATGACTTTGGGAGAGGAAATATATATATCGGATGAATTAATTGATTGCTGATTCTGATGAGTGAAGTTGCTATTATCTACGAGTATAGTGAGCTATAAGCGTAATAATACTAATAAAATGCGGTAAGGAGTGCTAGAGAAGTATCTGTGCTCGGCAAAGTTGCATTTTCAATATTATTAGATGAATAGATTGTATATAATTGAAAGATGAGGAGGTAGAGCGATGTTGACGGGTGAGTCCTGAAGATTCTTGTCTTGGGACATTGAGTAAAGAATGTGGTGATATATATACTATAGTCGTATGTGAGGGTTTCCTAGTCCTTTCAAGATAAGCTTGTACACGCTTCTATCCCAGGTATCTCACAGCTGTAGGTAGGGAAACTTCTAAATATACGACGGTTATTGTTACCGGTGCAATTGTCAAATTTCTTAATTTCTACCGACCATGAAATATACCATCGATATATGATTTTAATTTGAGCTGTTTAAAGAAATAAACAACGTAAGGCATATTTCTGGAACCATTGCTTCCCAGGTATACCTTCAACAGCTTCAGAAGCAAGTACTAGAAGTATCTGTGGCAGTGATTATGAAAGACGGGGGGGGGATAGTAATAAGAGTACCGGTATGTCTAGAATTTGGTAGGTTGATAGTGGAGAGATGCTAATGAGCATTTCATAATCCTGAGCAAGTGCTCTCAATTTCTATATAACGATATGGTTTCTTTTTGGAGTATGATAGAGATGGTATATCTCTTATCTTCAATTTGCTTTTCCTGATTTCTTGTCTACCTTCTTATAAATTGGATTCGAGGATAATAATGAGGATGAAGTATGCGAGGGGTAAGTGTAGATATTAGATTCTATCGGCTATTTTCTCTATATATACGATACTAGATCTTTTTGTATTATAGAAGGATAATATTTCTTATGCTCCATTCCCGACAAACAGTATATATATTGAGAAACTTTAGCAAGTGCTTTATTAGTAAGTTGAAATAAGATTACATTTCTGGCTTCTTGATCTTGTATTACTAAAATTGTCAAGATCTACTATAATTATGTGATAGGCCTTTTTATTATAGGTCTAGCCTTAAGACTTAAGTCATTGAAGAATTATAATCTCATAATCTATACAAGATATCATAACTTTTCTATTCTACCTAAAGTTTCTACCCTAGTTATGTAGACTATTACAATTAGGAAATGAGTGACTGGAACCTCAATGCAGCAATACCTTAAACTTAACTTTTACTTCAACTATACCCAAAGAGAGGCAGAAGAAGGTATGCCTTTAATTTAATGATCTATCTGCTAGTCCATCTGTCGCTTTTAAGTTGATCCCTAACTGTGTTGTGCCTTTAAATCCGGTATCTAATAGAGTCTGAATCTTATAGAGTCTGATTTAATATATTAATAACAAGATCATCGCCTTGCTCTCTCGACCTAGACATACATCCACCCCATATCACTTGACAAATAGTATAAGAAACATATCCTCTTATCCCCCATCTATATCTATCTCCTATCTCAATTTTCAATCTTAACCAAATCCTAACCGTTACTGAGTTACGATTGGGTCCTTACTATCTATATCTATATACTCGAGTAAACGCAAGCCATGCCATACCCCCATAAACAAAGCCTATACAATCATTAACCACCAAACCACCCCATACATTCTCCCTCCATGATTAGAAAAAAACCATTATCATCAAAAGCCTAGTCAGACTTCCAATTTCAATCCCAAATCCCCCACAATCTCCGAGTTCCAGCGACTAACTCACAGAAACGTATATATGTTTACCTATCCACCTACCTATCTAGGTAAACAACTCAAAATTTACCAACACTAATACCAATACCAATACTACAAAACTCCTCCATATCTCTCAACTCCCTCAGACCTCTATAAGAACCATACGAATCACAAGAATTATAATTATAATTGCAATTACTATAAATAAATAAACATATCATCCATTATTCCATCCCTCCATCCAATCCCATTCCATTCTCTTCCCTTCAGCCACTTCATTTTTTCCCCTTCCCTTTCCCCCACCTACTTCATTTCCCCTTTCTACTTATTTTTTCCTTTCTTTTCTCCATCTCCTGCCTTTTCCTCTTCCCCTAACCTCTTACTTTCTTCCTTTCCATTCCCAAGCTTCCCCTTCCCCATTTCTTCCCCCTTCCACTTCCCCTTCCCTCTACCTCTCCCAGAATACCTCTACTCTATCTTAAACCCTCATTAACCATACCATACCATACCATACCATACCATACCATACCATACCATACCATACCATACCATACCATACCATACCATACCATACCATACCACACCATGCTATGCCATACCATACCATACCTACCATACTATACCATACCATATCCTCTACTCTACTCCTCTACTCCTCACAATGTGAATCATATTCAGAATCATTCAAAGTTCACTAATATCAATAGTAGGAAGTAGGTAAGGTAAGTAAGTAATGAACTTGAAGTCAAAATTGAACCCAGCTATTGTAAATAACGACATCAATACCAAAGCCAAACCCAAACTTAAACCAAAAAATGAGAAAAGTAAAACAGACATAAGATACGAAATGATCCCAGCAACACACATTGCACAATCCGCGGAACAAACTATGAACGAAACAGCAAACGGAGCGAGAATTCAGTAACACAATGCATCATCGGACCTCAGAACGTAAGCTCATCCTTCCTGGTATAAAAAATGCAATGCCAAAAGCCCTACTGTAGCTCAATATATTAACTGTCTACTCTAGTCAATCTCTTACTCACCACCCCCTCTCCCCCCTCAAAAATCAACTCCATCTCGTTCCCATTTCCCATTTCCCATTCCCATTTCCCATCTAAATGTCTAAAAACACCTAACTCCACAAAATATTAAACCGCTTCCAACCAACAACCTTCTTCTCTTCCGGCTCCGGATGGTCATTTGCGATATCGATGAATCTCTGAATTGGAATATCCGATAATGGAATTATCCCAGTACCTTTTCTATATTTATACCCAAAGTACAAGATGAGGACAAGGGGAATATTGATATAAGATGAGATGAAAGTTTCCGTATCCCAGCTGAAGAAAAGACGATCATTAGTCTCGGTGTCACATAGATCATCGTCCGGGTTTGGGAATGCTTACTGGTTTTTGATAAAAACGGAATAACCACCTGTAAGCAGAAGAACGCTAAAAGAGATGAGTGCTATCCATGCAGCATATGGTTGAAATGGTCCTTTCCATGGTAGATTTGATCGAGAAATTCCTTGCTTCCTACATCCATAATAGAATCGTAGATATACACCACAAATAATCATCCAGTTTATAAGTGCAGAGACAGCTACGAAGTCCTGGAGCCAATTAAAGACAATATTTGCAGAGTCCGAAAGGGTCAGAAAACCGAGGCAAATGAACAAACTAAGAAATCCAATGGCAAGGTATGGTACATTAAAACGATTGGTTTGAAGGAAGACTCTTGGTGCGTGTCCATGTTGACCGAGCCCATATAACATTCGGGATCCGCCAAGCATAGCTGCGTATGTTAGTCAAGCATTTGATAGTTGACGGAGAAAGACTAACCTGCATTCCCAGCACTCCACGCACTGGTCAATACCACAGCATTGATGATAGAAGGAACAATTTTGATTCCGGCTTTGTTGGCAGCAATAACAAATGGCGATTGCGCAGCTGTTCCGGTTGACCTTAAGAGCTCTTTGTCATTTGATGGTACAATCATACCCACCATAAAAATTGAGAGAACTATGAAGCAAATCAATAAATCGACCCAACAGTCATAGGAGAGTCAATCTGTACATACCGTAGAACAGCATCACTCGAAAGAAGATTCTTTTCGCAGCGATTGGAATGTTTCTTCGCGGTGACTGGGTTTCTGCGGCTGCAAGAGAGAAGTTCTCGACCCCAGAATAAGCATATACTGCGTTCGAAAATGTGGTCCAGAACCCCATGAAATGCCCCAACGCGCCAGTATATCCTAGGTAATCAACAAATGGTCCGGGATTGTGCCAATATCGGAAACCATATGTTTCACCATTTGGTCCTCCACCGCAAGTAATCACAAGTGCCTGAAAAGGATTAGTAAGGGTTGCTGAGATAGCTTCAAGAAAATACCATTATATTTAACCCCACGATGAGCATAATCTTCAAGATTGCGCATGTGAATTCGAGCTCTCCATAGACCCGAACAAAAAGTAGATTACTAGCGACCAGCAGGAGCCCGAAGGATATGATCCAGATCGCATTATTGATTTGAACCCAGAATTGGATTATAACGGCAGCAGCAACGAGCTCGGCAGGGATGGTAATGATATTGCTGTAAACTTGGTTCCAACCATTCGCGAATGAGAGAGCTGGATCGACAAAATATTCGGCATGGCGGATAATACCTCCACTCAAAGGAACCAGAGCACTGCGGTGACCAATTTTAGCGAGACTTCATGGGAGTGGAAGTCTGGCTAAGAAACTGACCTTAGTTCCGCTATAGAAAGAACAACGCCTGACACTAGTATTCCTACGAAAGTATATCCTAGTCTAATGGGCCAGTAAGTGCTGTACCGTACCCCTACACTGGAGACTCACAACGCTCCTAGTGGACCTGCTCTAGCAATAGCTTTTCCAGAACCCAAGAATAGACCCTAGACATCTCAGTATCTGTAAAGTTGCATCGTAGATCGACACGGTTCTTACCGTCCCAATTGTACCAGCCAAAGCAATCATTTGAATATGCCTTTGGCCCAAACCTCGTCTGCCAAACAAGTTTAGCTGGATATTTGTGGAAACTGGATACTTGTTCTGTATTACCTCAAATCCTTGAATTCATCAAACTCCTTAGGTTCATCATCTTGAGGCTGAGGCGATAATCCATGGACCGGGCAAACCAATGGTTCATCGCTGGCAGTATTGGTTTGCCGGTTTGATGAGATGTTATTTGAGGACATACTGACAAACGGGGGACCGTTTGGGTATTTGATTGGGCAATGACTTGGAATAAACCTTGAGCTTGACACGTTCTCAAAGGAAAATGAAGGATTCGTTGACGTGTAAAGATCTTAGAACTTTATCTTTCAAGGAAAGAAAGTGCAAAGTAAAATGTTTCCGATAAGAAGAGGTACCTACTGTTTTTGCATATCTACTCCCCCATCTCTTCTCAATGGGAAAGAGCGACTTGGAGTTGACATGCCCAAGATAACGGCACCTTATTTCCGCACTCACCGACTCAAATCATGTTGTGTATCGTGAATTGAGTTGTTGTGACTCTTCTTTGGACAAATCTGGTACACGTTGTGTTGTACATAACCGATACCGGTAGGTGTTTGAACTACCGGTACTCCATTCTCATCTGTAGATGTCCTAAAACGCAATCCATATGGAGTGTCAAATCTTGTTGGCTTTGATTTGCAAACTCTCATCACAACCATACAATTAGCATCAGAACAAGCTCGAGATGATTGTATGAACTTCATATTGATGGTATTGAGTTGTGAGTTGTATAATTGGGTTGTACAGGATTGGTTCGTGGTCCGAGGAAGCTTTTCTACGTGGACTTTAGTCATCACCACTAGTACTCAACCGGGCTAGTGGCTTCTGCCCCTGAAATTAGTGTTTGTTCATTGAAACCCAAGGCTTTTAACTTCTACTCGAGTACAACTCTCTCTATCAACCTATATACTCACCGGCGCTTACAAATAAACCAACATGTTCACTGTTTGAAAGTTTGGTATTTGTTGTTTGGTTGCCAGGTATGAACTTTCTTAACCAATATTGTGACCGGGGCTAGTGCCTTGATTATGGACCTTCTTGACACTGTATTTATTTTCACGTGGCAAGATGGAATGCAAACAACAGATGAGAATCAAACATGCTGCTTGTTGATGAGCAAATCTCCCAACAGAACCTTCGTCTCGGATCACCTCTGGTCACGAGCCGTTCCGTTCATTGGGCATTCACTACTATTATAATCTCCCTGATATTCAATTGAAGATCGTGCTATTGCGAACCCGGAGAGCTTTAACCAGATTCTCTTTTCTTCTTTCAGTCAAAAATCTCAATTACTCCTACTTTCTTCCTTATTCTATATTGAACTACTCCGTCCTTGAGTATTCCACTGCCCCTTTTCCTTCCGTACGGGATTACTCCGTTCACTATACCTTTTTGTTTTTCGGAACGTATAGTTATATATGCACTCCATTTGAACTTCTCAAGAATTACTTCGTTGAAACATTATCATATTTCGAGAAACGTCACAATTGATCCGGTTGTAAGATCAACATGTCGGAATCACGAACTTCGACCAATTTTCCAACTCCTCCCACCCCTGCCAAGGACTCAACGGAGCCTTTCTGGCATTCTGAGAGGCATCCTCTTCATGATCACAGAAGCACTGAAGTTCTCCCAGACAACGAAGTCATTGATGTCGTTATCATCGGTGCGGGATACGCTGGAGTAGCTATGGCATACAATCTTGTCAAGGATGAGACTACAAATAATGGCCACAAGTTATCAGTCATGATTCTTGAAGCAAGATCTGTCTGTTCTGGTGCCACTGGAAGAAATGGTACTACCAAAGCTTCCTATTCATCCGAGAACAACATACTGATTAGCCATAGGTGGACATCTCCGTCCGGATTTTTATGGTCATATTCCTACTTATATTAATCGTGCTGGGGCTAGAGCTGGTGCTGAGATTGCAGAGTTTGAGATTGCACATGTTCAGGCCTTGAAGAAGCTCATCCTACGCGAAAAGTTCGATTGTGATTTCACATTGACCAGAACTTGTGATGTGTGGAACAATCAGGAAGCTGCTGATAAAGCGAAGGTTATCTATGAAAGTTTGCGTCTAAACCCAAAACTACCTTACATGGAGGATGTTCACTTTACCACGGGCAAGAATGCTGAAACTGTAAGTCTCCACTTTGCTCATTTCAGAGTTCTCGAGGCATTATTTGCTAACCGAGTCTAGATCTCCGGAATTAAAGGCGCAAAAGCATGTTCAACTTACACCGTTGCTACCTTGTCCCCATACAAGCTTATCACATCTCTTCTTGCTTCTGCTTTAGCTACTGGCTCCGTCAACCTACAAACCCACACTCCTGTCACCTCCATTAACCAATCAGCTCACGGCGACTTCTTGGTTGAAACACCACGAGGTATTCTTCGTGCCCGCAAGGTGGTCCATGCAAATAATGCCTATGTCTCTGGCCTTCTCCCGGAATACGCCAAGAACATTATTCCATGTAAGGGCATATGCTGCCATATCACGGTTCCCAAAGGCGCAACTGCACCTCTTGTCGACCACTCATACATTATCCGCACCGAAGATGGCATTCTTGATTACTTGATTCCTAGGCCCGACGGAAGTATCATTGTAGGTGGAGCATCGGCAACTTTTCGCCCTTACAAAGAGCAATGGTATAATAAGGTGGATGACGGCAAGTTGATACAGGCTACCATGGAAGAGAGATACTATGAAAACTTCATGCAACGTACCTTCCGCGGATGGAATAACTCAGGTGCAAAAGTCGAGAGTATCTGGACAGGAGGTAAGTCACCCACTACGCATCTTTTCCTTGAGCCAATGGAAACTGATTCGAAACATAGTAATGGGATACTCCTTCGACTCCAACCCCCACATCGGTCTCGTCCCCGAGAAATCCGGCCAATTCATCATCGCAGGTTTCAACGGCCACGGCATGCCTGTCATTTGGCTTGCCGCAAAGGGTTTAGCAGAGATGTTGAAAACCGGAAAAGCTTTTGAGGAAGTTCGTGTTCCGATGCCTCTTCCTAGATTATTCAAAACTACCCAGGAGAGAATCGATAGAGCACAAAATGGACCTGAGGGCGGGGATATTCTCAATTGAGACGTTTGGATTTTAGATTTCAGATTTTAGATTGCAAATTGGAGTTCAGCGTATCGGATTGCAAAGCTATATAGAGCGCTTTGCTTTAGTTCACTCTACAAATTACTATCGTACACTAATACATTGCTTTATTGCAGCCCTTTGCTGCCAATTCCACTGGGCTAGTTATTTCCTCAAATTCTCGTTGCCATTTTCAAATTACTCAGTTTACTATCACGCCCGTCTTTTCCTATCACAAGCATTATCGAAAACCCCCAAGCACCGACCGGGACATAAAAATTCATCTTCGATATATCTATGTATATATCCTCTCCACTCCTTACCCAGTCATCTAATAGCTTGCAAGTCCCGCTCTGAACATACTTTCAATAGAAATATACTCCGCATGTATCCTACCCTAATATTGTTGTTACCATGGTCTTGTATAAGATTTATAGAATATGCTCTTAAGGACTTTGGGCCAATTTTATATGTGAAGATACTATGTTGGTAGGTATATAAGTAGGTAGATATGAAATCTTGTGTCAGTTACGTCAGTAATTCTCAGGCTTGGATATATCTCATGAATCATAAGCCACGAAACATCAAAAATAAGACATAAGACATAAGCTCAACTTTCCTATTAGTATAGTATAGTATAGTATAGCACATAATATACAAACATATCACCCAACCACCCACCCATACCCATACCCATACCCATACCTTTTCACACCCTTCCATTCACAAAGCAAACCACCAAACCCCACCCTAAATCCTAATCGTAAATCTCCATCCCAAGACCCAAACAAACAGTTCCCAGTACTATACTCGAGTAGTATAAAACAGCCACAATTTTGAAAATACCAGACTCTCTCTCTCTCTTTCTATACACAACCGGGATACACGATTCCTTCACCAGGCATGGAATTCTATCTTGTTTTGATTTGTTTTGATTGTGGTTTCCTGTGGAGAATTCGGCTGGGTTAGCACTGAGAAGGTTGGTTTGTTTTGTTTATGTGGTTTTAATTTGGGGATTTGGGGGTTACGTCGTTTATTGCTGGTGTTTAATGGTGGGATTTGTTTTTGCTGTTTGTTGTTGTTATATTATGTATACAGTTAGATTTTTCATCACAGTATGTGTATGCTCGAGTAGAGCACTCATGAATAGTAAAGCTATGAGATAATTTGCAAACATGAAGGATGTGAAGGATATAAAGGATATATTTGCGTGGGCGTAATGCTGAAGGATAGGATGGTTTTTTTGTGTAATTATTTGGTGGGGAAGGGAGTTTATTGTACGAGTATAAGTATAAATATCGAGATAATTGTAGAGAAAACTTTCACAATACACCGAGTTTAATAATGTGTTTTCAAAAAGAATCATGATTTTTGATCTCTTTTATTTTTTTATTTTAATCTTAAAATAATTATTTTGATAATAAAGTTATTTCAATATTGAAAAATATCTGAAATAATTCTAATAATCAATAATTCAATTATATTAAAACCTTTTTTCAAATTGAAATAATTTTGATAAAGATATTGTAAATT